AAGAAGAAGAAGAAGAAGAAGAAGAAGAAGAAGAAGAAGAAGAAGAAGAAGAAGAAGAAGAAGAAGAAGAAGAAGAAGAAGAAGAAGAAGAAGAAAGAAGAAGAAAAAGAAGAAGAAGAAGGAAGCTAATGTAGGACTGAGCATCATCTCCTCCAGATGCATTTTGAAACCATCCTTGGTGACTTTTCCTGTCATCCAGAGTCTCGGGCTCGTAAGATGGAAGAACAGAAAACAAGGCTAACAAGGACAATTCATAGGCACTTTATATCTAAACACAATGTAGAGAACGGACAGGGGGGCTGGCTTACCGTAAAGCACTTGACTATAATGCAGGTAGCTTTGGTTTAAGACCAATTAATGCAAAGAGATAATCCTTGTTCAATACCCAGTAATAAAAATAATAATCCAGCCGGGAGGTGGTAGCGCACTCCTTTAATCCCAGCAACTCGGGAGGCAGAGGCAGGAGGATCTCTATGAGTTCGAGGCCAGCCTAGGCTACAGAGTGAGTTCCAGGAAAGGCACCAAAGCTACACAGAGAAACCCTGTCTCAAAACAAAACAAAATAATAATAATAATAATAATAATAATAATAATAATAATCCTTGTTCTCTTGTGCTGACACACAGTATGAGTCATACTTGATCAGAATCCACAGCTGGAATAGGGTTCAGATGAATGCTAGAATCCATACAGTGAAGGACATGGGTCAGGACCACAGAGATGTTTAAAATCATTCAACACAGTGAAATATACAGATCTCTGGTTTACATGCAATGGACTCCCAGAATGCATCTGAGGGTCTTTCTGTAAAGTCCTTTCCCACACTTTCAATGATTTATCTGTGTAATTTTTGTGTCCATTCTACCACATCCACAGCACCTACTTCTTCCTGCCTTTTCATAAACTCAGGAGTGTGGCCACCACCAGGTGACTTTACACCTCTTTTGTGAGTTTCTTTTCTGAATTTGTTAACAAGGAAAACTATAATTAGGCAGTCTTTAATTCCATCAGAGACCTGAGAAGATATAAAATTACCTGAGTAAACAGGAGGTACAGAGCAAACAACTTCCAAAATTAAGAGATGACAGAAGCAGCTAGCTGTCTGGACAGGCACCCTAGGTTCCTCTGTAACATTGGGGCATCCATCTTCGGCCTGCAGGCATAGAATATCTGACAGACTTTTCTGTGAAGCAGGTTTTTGAAGGACTGTCCTACCTTGTCTTGGAAAGATCCGGTAGTCACTTTCTTTTGTGACATGCTTGTACAATTTGGACAGCATACTGTCAGTAGTCGAGGCAATAACCTTAAATTTGAATCAATATCCAAAAACATCTTAAACAATAGTAGAAACATATATACAGTACCACAAAAATAACCTCAAATCTGTATCAATATTAAAAATCCATATCAGTGTAAAATATTTAAGACTAGTAGTTGATTTTTTTTGGTTTAAAAGTAGATTAAATAATCTCCCCTTTCTCTTTTTTGAATGAGATCCCTGAATCTAATCTCCTTTGTTCAACTTTTTCCCTGATCATTACCAATAACAACTTGTAACCAACACCCCAAAATGATGACAAATATCCTCTTAATGACCAAAAACCACCCACCCAACTCTTGGGAATGTGGGTGTTGTGTTCTTAAAATTACTTCTTGCTGTCTGGGGACAATGGCATCTTTAGGGAACCCTGAAGAAAACTGGGATAGTTGTCAAGTTCTGGGAGAGCTAGTTGTATCATTTCTTGTCCAGTCTCTGTATAATGGGAAAGTGCAGGGCTTTTCTCAAGTCCTGGCTGGAGTTGTCTGTGAGGATGGACCATGATGTTTAAAGGGAACAATATTTTATCAATATTTAAATATACATACAAAGCAATTGGTTAAATACCTGACAATACCCATGAGAAAAAAAATCCCTTCACCAGTGATAAGCATTCATTCACAACTCTTTGAATTCTCTGTTTTCTTTAGTGGAGTTGTGTGTTTAATTCAAGTGTAGGAGGAACTACAAACAGAACATGGATAATCTAAGAGGGAGACTCATCCAGCAGGATATTAGGGATCCAGGTATACATATGAAACATTCTACCCAGAGTCAGATCTCAGGCCTAACATGTTTGTTTAGACCATGTTGGCAACTTTATTATCTCTAGTAACATTTTTTGTATAACATCTTGATTATCTAATTGCCTCCCATTGAAACATTCTGCACTAGATGTGATTTTTGGCAAAATCATTTTAAACTCTATGCTTACAGGCTGAAGATTTTTAATTCAGTTAAAATTTTAATTAAATTTTTAATTGAAAGATTTTTAAATTAGGCATGGTGGTGTATGCCTTTAATCCCAGATCTCAGTTGGAGGCCAGTCTGTTCCACAGACCAAGTTCCAGGAAAGGCAGGGTTACACAGAGAAACCTTATCTGGAAAACATAATTTTAAAATCTCAGGTTTGAACTTGAGAAAAGGAATTGCTGTTTGGAGGTAATATTGTTTTCTTACTATTTAAATACACAAACAAAAACAAATGGTTAACTACCTGCCCAGTGCTATTTATAAAAATATATCCTTTCATCAGTGATAAGCAAAAATCCAGTGAAAGACACCTTGCTAGTGCTGTTATGAAGACCCGATACTATCCACTTGTGTGCATGAGCAGTGTTTTCTCCTTGCCTTGTGAACATGTATCTTTTGGCTATCTGCCTTCCTCTGTGGTTTAACTTGTCCTGCTTTGAACTGGTCTACCTATGCATCTCATGAAGCTATTCATGGGTCCCTGCCAAGAACAGAATTACATAGGTATCCACAAACATGGGGTCCTGTGTGCATTCCAGTTAAAAGAAACAGGATAAGGATTGGGAATCAGAACATCCATGTCAGTGTTGTGGGTTTACAAATGCCAGGAACAGATACTTTCTGTTGTAATCATGTTTATATTTCTTTTAAAATACAAGTACCCTGGAGCTTATATCTTTGGGCAAAGACATGTTCCTTTTTACCTCATGACTCTCTGGTAGTTGGCTTCTCTGTTGTTGTTACAGATTATGCTGCCCTAATGCCATGCTGGGGCAGAAAGGGTTTATGTGACTTACATACAGGTCATAGACCATCATTAAAAGAAACCAGGGCAGGAGCTCAAGCATTAAACTGGAGACAGGAACAGAAGCAGAAACCATGGAAGAATGTGCTTTCAGGCTTGCCCCACCACCAATGGCAACCTTGGTTTCCTCGTTATACAACCAAAGAGTAGTTTGTCAGCGATGAAAATGCCAACAGTGATCTGAGGCCTCTGAAGCAATTATTAATCAAGGAATTAATTCACAGACTCATCTACAGGCCAATCTAATAGCGGTTCATTCCTTAGTCAAGGTTCCATCTACCCAGATTACCACAGCTTCTGTCAAGTCCACAAATATTTGCTAGCACACTCCCAACTTGAAAATCCATGTTATTAATTTTCAGATGCTGGAGAAGGAAAGATACACCTGTGTGGGGAAGAACCACTGGCAAACTTGCACCTTGACTGAACAAAGTTATAAACCAGTTCTTTATGCTTGTGCTGATGCTGCATTATTTTCTTCATCTGTCAACCTTGCTGCCATGATTTTGGATGGTTATTACCAACATGGCAAATTGAAAAATGCTAGGGAATGTTGAATCAATGTGATGAGGTGTCTCAAGTTCCTGCTACCATGGATTCACCTCCATGAGCTTCTATACCTTAATAATGTCTGTCATCTGAATAACAATTTCCTTTCCTGTTTTAGGTAGGTTTACTATTTCTGTTATGAAACATTGTGACCAAATCAACATGGGGAGGAAACTATTTGGCTTATGCCGCCCCATCACAGTTTATCATTAAAGGAGCCAAGACAGGAACTCAAAGAGGGCAAGGGCATAGAGGCAGGGGCTGATGCAGACATCACTGTTTACTGGCTTGCTGCTCATGGATTGCTCATCTTGCATTTTTATAGACTGCAGGAACACCAGCCCAGGGATAGCCCCACCCACAATGCGTTGGCCCTTCCCCATCAATTACTAAATAAGGTAATTTCCTACAGCTTTTGTTCTCAATCCTTTTAATGCTTTGGCCCTTTAATAAAGTTCCTTATGTTATGGTGGCCCCCAACCATAACATTATTTTAGTTGGTAACTGTAACTTTGCTACTCTTATGAATTGTAATGTAAATATCTGATATGCAGATGGTCTCAGGTGACACCCGTGATAGGGTCATGACCCCCAGGTTGAGAACCTTTGTCCTAAGGCTTGCCTACATTCTGACCTTATGGATGCATATTTTAATTGAGATGCTGCTGTGGGATGTTCTGTATGTCAAATTGCTCTGAGTAGTCAATAAATAAAATACTGATTGGCCAGTGGCTAGGCAGGAAGTATAGGTAGGACTAACAGAGAGGGGAAAAGAAAGAATAGGAAGGCAGAAGGAGTCACTGCCAGCCTCCACCAGGACAAGCAGCATGTGAAGATGCTGGTAAGCCACGAGCCACGTGTCTAGGTATAGATTTATAGAAATGGGTTAATTTAAGATATAAGAACAGTTAGCAAGAAGCTTGCCACGGCCATACAGTTTGTAAGCAATCTAAGTCTCTGTGTTTACTTGGTTGGGTCTGAGTGGCTGTGGGACTGGCGGGTGACAGAGATTTGTCCTGACTGTGGGCCAGGCAGGAAAACTCTAGCTACAAGATGCCCTCCTCTCAAATGACTTTAGCATGTCTTGAGCTGACTTAAAGCTATCCAGCAGTTATGAAGGTTCTCTTTGCAAGTGTTTCATCACACCAACAAATAAGTATTTACTGCATCTACTCATTTTTTTTTTAATGCAGGAACACATCTGGTTCAACTGTGAAAGAATGAGTCAGGAATATAAAGTCACACATTTTATATGAAGTGGTTCAATAGTAAGTAAAATTAAAGACCATTTGAAAAAGTTAATGTAACAGGACAAAAAGGCAATTGTCCCTCAAATAGAAAGTAAATTTAACATAAAAGTGAATCACTTCCCCATAGCCAGACTCAAAGAAGCAATCTAGCAGATGCAGAAAAGGCATTTATTTGCTCAACATCCTGCTATGATGAAAACTCTCAAGAAAATAGTATAGAAGGGAAATGCAGCAAGAAAAAAAATGGCCAGTTATACATTATACAACAAAAACAATATGGAAACAAAAATTTAAAAGATTAAACAAGTCAGAAACTTTAGCTAATATCACCACAAACATAAAAAGCTGCAATCTTTCCCTCTCAGATCCAACACGAGGATGCCCAGTCTCATCATTACTTTTCTACAAAGCACTGAAGCGTGACCTAGAATTTCCATGAAATAAATAGAAATAGCATGTACCCAAATCCAGAGAGGAGAAGCAACATATATTCACCTTGTCATGATACTTTTCTGGATGCAGTCAACACCAATATTTACAAATAATTAATGAACTCAGAAATTTCAGGTTATGAAAACTTACATTTAAAAATAAGTTGTTTCTTTTTAGAACAATAAGAAGTCTCACAAAGAGATCAAGGGGATATTCCCGAATAAGAAAGCACCAAGAAGAATCCATTAAAATAAATTAGATTTCCTATGTTACAAACTTTAGCATTTTCATAGGCTCTCCTGAATCCTCATCAGGGAATGGAGGAAATGAAAGGTTAGTTGAATTATCAAATTCTTCATCCCATGCTTTAGGGTTTGCTCTGGGATGTCTTTCTGTATGCTATGAATGTGTTTTATTACCATTGGTTAGTTTCTCTCCTGTATGAATTCTCTTGTGTTCAGAAAGTACTATTGGAACATTGAAAGCCTTGCCACATAGTTCACACTTGAAGGGTTTCTCTCCTGTATGAATTCTCTTGTGTACGGAAATTCGTGATGGAACATAGAAGGCCTTGCCACATACTTCACACTTGAAGGGTTTCTCTCTTGTGTGAATTCTCTTGTGTATACAAAGTAATGATGGAAAATGGAAGGCCTTACCACATTCTTCACACTTATAGGGCTTCATTCTTAAATTAACTTTCTGTTGGCTAACAGGTTGTGAATTCCAAGAAAGATTTATGCCACATTGTTTGCCTATATAGTGTTTTTTTTCCTGGTGAGTAAAGTTGAGAAATGAATGAAAACTGAACAAAATTCTCTATATTTATGATTATTTTTAAAAATATAAACATTTACTCATACCTGCATTTTTCTATATAAATAATAAGATGCATTCAAATTTCTAAATCTGTATCCAGTGTAGCCTAATTAAAAAGCCATGATAGGTGGAAATTATGTAACTTGCAGTGAAAGACAAAGACCATAGCAACATAGAACATAGAAATAAAGGAACATTAATCAAAGTCAAACATGAAAGGAAGGCATAACATCAACAATTAAGAAAACAAGAGTATTATGCTATTGTAAATAAGCCACTTAAAAAATAAAGAAATTTTATGACTAGATGAACAGAAAGTATAAAAGTAGTTAAAGTTAGAAGACACATGTTTTCACAGTTTATATATATCCTAAGTACAGACTTTTAGTTTTGGAAGGTATAAAAGTTAGGCTGTATAACAAGAAAACTGTCCATAACAATATTAAATATATATTTCAAGGATTGAAGACAGGCAGATCTATGAACATTTTATGAGTAAATATCTCTTAATCAACTTATGAAAAATAAATCATGTTCACCTAGAAATCACAGAACTGAGGCAGTTACTGTAAACATAAGCTGACCTAATGGGAAGTGGAGAAAAAAGCATAAGAGAATCAATGCATCAACAACATCCTCTTTTTACAGCAAAAAGACAGAGAGAGAGAGAGAGAGAGAGAGAGAGAGAGAGAGAGAGAGAGAGAGAGAGAGAGAGAGAGAGAAGGAGATCCTTAAAAATTGGTTTCCATCAGAACATTGTGAGTCAATGTTCATGATAAAGCTTGGCTTTCTGTTGGATCTCAGGCTCTCATTCTGTCCTCTGTCCCTCTTATTCCTACACACCTATTTGCATGTCAGCTGCTGCTTTTCTCTTCATAGCTGAAGGTCCTTGTCTTTGCTCCAGAAATGTGACCAGGTATGGCTTAGAGGAAGCAAGACCTGTTCATGGAAAAAGGGAACATCATTATTGTGCTCTCCTGGGGATAACATGTCCTCTCTAAGACTGTGTGTATAAGGAATGAGAAAATACAATCAAGGATTGTAGAGTATTAGTTCTTCATGTGTTTCCTGGTGGCCACATTGGAATGCTTAGGAGGAAATTAGGATTTTCAGAACCTGAGCTTCATGTCCCTCAGTTACAAGGAAAAACACTAAAATGAAAGTGTAGTATTCTTTTTGAAATGTATGCCTCCTGCTCATGCCACTTACTTTATAACATAACCACCAATATAAATGATACTTATAAAAAGGAAGGGGGTAGTTTGTGAACACAAGAAGGAGTAAAATCATTCTAAGGTATATAAATACTCTCTTTAATTTTCCTTAAAACTGGTCCCATAAATTTCAATGTTGGAAGCACAAGCTTCCATGAGCTACTGTACAAAGCAAGCAAGTTTTATATTGATAGTTAAGAGTTCACCATGGAAGTGGTCCTCACCCAGGAACACAAGGTTACTGAAATTCTCCAACATCACATCTCTGTACAAATTCCACTTAGCAGGGCCCAGGCATTCCCTCTCTTCTTGAGAAAACTCAATGGCCACATCTGCAAATGATAGCATACCCTGAAATAGAGGGAAAAAAGAATGAATACTATACATCATGCTAACTAAATCTGCCAGTAAAACATAAATACCAAGAGGCATATGTGGATAAGAGGATATAAACCTAAAGGTCACCCAGAGAGAAAGGAGAGCTAAAAGAGCTTCTGATATAGGTAAGCAATATTCCTAAAATAAGTGCGATGTAGTACTGTGATGTTGCATGAGACTCATTTAATCAAAGTGAATGACAAAAAATCCTAGAAACTTCTACAGATATTAAACTTTTAAGAACCATAAAATGGAGAGAGAGTGTTATCTATAAAACAATATGTTGAGGTTGGAGAGATGGCTAAGCAGTTAAGTGCATTCGCTGCTCTGCCAAAGGACCTGGGATAGATTCCCAGCAGCCACATGGCTGCTCACAACTGTCTGTAACTCCAGCTCCAGAGGATCAGACAATCTCTTAGACATGGACACTAGCAAAATAACCATGCACACAACATAAATAAATGATAAATTTTGAAATGAAATATGCATTTTATCCCATGCTTACCTCATAATACACCATACATAATGTATATTTCTCACAGTAGAGAGCTATTGTGATAGAGAGGGTACTTCCCAACCCAATATGAATAATCACAGATGATAAATACAGTAAAGATGCAGAAATGATCCAGCACTTCTGGGTTGAGGTCTGGCTTCCTGAGCATGTACAGAGTGATGCAATTGGCAGTATACCAAGGGATGTGAGTTTCAGCATCCAAGGGGTGGAACAATAAATGAAGAATTTGTAGACAAAAATGGAATCCCAAGTATTTTAACAAATTGATAATTAGGAAACTTAGCAATAAGTTTAGTCACCGTGGGAACTTACACATACTACACAGGAAATATTGTACCCATTCTTGGGTTGTACAGCTCAACAGTCTAAAGTTTCTATTATCAATCAACTTTTATTAGCTATTTTACAGCCATTGACTATTTTAACTAAACTCATGCATTAAAAAAATTATCTTAGGATTCACAAATTCATTGAGTATGCTGAAAAAAAATAACAAAAATTTAAGTTAAAGCTTGTAACAATCGGCTGATAATTAAATCTATAAACAGATAATTTTAATTTACTACAGTATACTACACATAAGATTCAACTCTTGTTTAGAAAAAGAGGTCTACTACATAACACTGTAAGAAGAGATGTCTTTAAATAGTAGCCATGTGGCTTGAGTCCATCTTGGCTGATGACCTCATCAGGATAAAAACAACCATGTGGCTAGCAGCCATCTTAACAAAGATTAAAGAACACAAGCCATGTAACTTCACTGGCATCTGGATTTAGAGGACCACTCAGCATAAACCAACTAAGGGAGCACCTATAAAACTTCTTAGTCCTATTGTGCCCTGTATGTATGATTGTATCTTCTTTGTAGACTAAACAGGCAACAGCAGGTCTCCAAGGTATTTTAGATTAGGATGAATTTCTATACAACATTAAATTCCTAAGGTTACAAAGGTATACTCAATCTAACAAAAGACTGAGAGATGTATGTCTAACCACTTATGTCTTTGCTAACTGTATGTTTAACCACTTATTTCTTTGTTAACACTAGGCTTTTAAAATTTTTAAAATATAAAACAATGTATGTTTGATAAATAAGGTATAAATTCCTAAGGTCTGTTTAGGCTAGCCAAACTGACATATATAGTATATATATATAAATATATATATATATATATATATATATATATATATATATATATATATATATATAATCTTTGTCTTTACAACTATGTTTATAATTTAAAATTTTTACTTTAATGCTAAGGGATCTTCAATTCAAATTTTTAAGGCTCAGACTTAACAGCGATAAAACTGTAAAATCCTAATCTAATAAAAGCTACTAACTTCTTGTAAATTGTGAAGGATAATTAAGTCGTACAATTAATGGTCAGTTATAAATGAGTCAGTTCTTCCATGTCCTCAAAACTATGTTTTATAGTAATGGTAAGCACAAATGTACTTCATTTACAAGAACAAGCTTCAGTCTTCTGCACATGTTTTCATATAGAGAAGTAAGTACAAATAAATTTTGCTTAAAATCAGGTATACTTAAGAGATGGTCCTCAAAGTCCTTGGAGATACACTGAATATGACATTTAAAATATTTAATGATTGACATAGAGGCTATCTGGATTATAATTCTTGTTCTAATTTATCCTTTTCAGATCTCTGGTGTTGATGAATAACTAGCTTTATCAGTTTAACAGCAAAATTAACAAAATAAAAAATTCTCTTGTCTTTAATTTTTAAAATTTATATATAAATTTATCATCATATTTAAATTTATGTTCTTATACAGCACAAAAAAATTAAAAGAAAAATGTAAACAGACGAGATGGATTTTTAAAAAGCTAATAGGATTAAGATGGAATATTAAAGAAAATAAAAATATTTCCTCTGGGTAATATGATGGCGAAGAAATGCAAAGATAATTGCATGTTTTTAAAATTTCCTTGGAGGCCAAAAAGGTTGAACAGAAATTACAAGCATTAGAAGTTAAATTATCTTAAAATTTTCACCTATCATTATTTTGGTGCAGGCTGAGAATCTGTTCCATCAGACTGTCTGCAGAATATAGTAAGAACTAAATCCTCCCAGCAAGGGTTTCCTCCATGGAATTGTTATACATTGAAATTGTTCCCATTTTTGTATCCAGCTGCATATGTACTTTAATGTTTATTTGAAAAAATTCAGTTGTTTTCTGCTTCAGAATTTTCTATGATTATTTCATGGCTTCTTCCAAATATCCTGTTACCTAATAGATTCTTCCTGAGCTCAACATTGATATTGTCCTAAATTTTAAAGATCCCAAGTCTAAAATTGATAAAGCGTTAGGTATAAATTCTAAAAATTTTAATGACCACCATTAAGTTGATAGATTTTGCTTGGTTTTTAGTTTAGTATTTGCTCTTAGTCTTATAAATGATCAGACTCTGGCAAGGGAGGTGATGAAAGGGGGCTCACAAAAACGTATCCTCTATAGAGGAATGATGTTATATAGTATAAAGGTGATACTCCAAGCTTCTAGTGCACAACTAGTAATGGGTAGACGTCAGCTTGATACCTGAAGCTGTGTCTGTCAGTGTACAGGGCCTTCTCTGCTATCAGTTTTGCAGAGATCTGTGATCAAATTCACTAGATGCATGTACAGTGCCTCTCCCTCACTACTCAGAACACAGCCTCAAATACAGCACAAAGCTCTGGGAGCTCAAGCAAAATGACCATTGTGTCGTATCTGGAACTTGACTTTGACAAATAGCTCTATGCATAACCTTCCCAGGACTCTCATTATAACCAAATACTAATAATGGTCTTGCTTATGGTAACAAATAATTTAAGGCATCATGTTACTAAAATCTCTTACAACTCACAGAGTATTGCTACTATGAAATGCCATCAAATACTTCATTGGCAATTTAAAAAAAATAAAGGGGAATAGAGGGCTACATTCATCTATATCCCCACATAGTGTGCTATATTTAGTTATGCTAACTTTAAATTTTCAAAATATGCACTTTAAAGAAAAATTCTTCCTCCCTTAAACCATTTTCCCAAAAGGAGATGCAACATGATACACACTGATATATTCTGCAAATAAATGTATGCTAATACTCCTTTCATAAAATTGTTTTCAACCCCTGATATTAAATGTGAAATATTTATATTTATATAAATAAATAAATATATATAGCAGTTATATTGAAACACAAAAATGGCTGTGTTATTATAATGTAAGATGGCAGAAAAATGTAAAATCATTTAAAATTATTATTAAAAAAGTAAAATCATTTAATGGCCACAGAAATGCACACAGAATAGTGGACTCTGGATAAATTAGAGCACGCATCTAATTGTTGTCTCATTTCAGGCTTAATGAAGAACTGAATTCTCCCTTGTCTCCCCCAGAGACCCAAGAGGAAGGGCATGACACCTGGAATGGTGGGGCCCAGATATTGAGAAAAAGCTGTAGCCCAAGAGATAGGTTCCTATAATATGTTAGAGAGGTCCTTGAAGTTCTAGCTGGAGGTCAGTGAAATTTCTAAAGCCCAAAGTCAATAACCATTATAAAGCTTATGAATAGGAAACATGGACTAGAAAGAAAACAAAACATCAACAACAAATCTACAAATATGCTATGACTGCAACACCTAGGTCAATGGTCTGAATGAGAATTCAGATAACTAACAAAAAGTCAAAATAATAACTGCACATATAATAAAGAATATTAGAAATCAACCATGTAATAAAGTATGAGAAGCACAAGGATGAGTCTGAAAATACCACGGTGATGGAAAACAAATAAATATCTAACCACATGCTGAGGCATAAGGAAGCCTTGACAAACATAAAAGCTGGCAAAAATTACAAGAGCATGAGGAAAAACATTAGAGAACACTAAAGGTCTGCAGGTTAGCTTGGCACAAAAAGAACCTGCAGCAAAACCTGACGGCCTGAAGTGGATCCTGTACACTCACACAGTGCAAGGAAAGAAACTGGGATCTGTATATTCATAGTATGGCACGTAAATCTACATATAAACACAGGCACACAGTCCAGCAGTCAATCAATCAATAAACCAGTCAATCAATTTACTAAAGAGCACCAAGGGATTGTAAAAGATTTATTGGACACAATGCAGAGAATAAAAAAGGAGAGAAACAAGAAAGCCTGTATGGTGACACATGTGTGTAACCTTAGTTTATGGAAGGTGTAGGTAGGGATACAAGGCATTTATGGCCAGCCCCATCTATGTTGTTCAAAACTAGCCTATGTTGTATCAAGGCCTCCCTCATTTAAACAATCAAACCCTCACTCTACCATCAAAGACAATGAACTCAAGGAGAATAAAGAGCTTAGTGATACCCAACCAAAAAGAAAATCCCACAATAATGGTGGAAATGACAAGACAATCCAGGATTTGAAACTGGAATTCAATAAAGAGAAAGATTGATGAGGG